CCAGGGCGCCCTGACACCCTGCCGCGCGGCCAGTCCGCGGGGTCAGGCCCTGTGTCCTGGCAGCCCCACCGTGCTGCAGCCCCTCGCCGGCTCTCTTGCCGCGCGGCTCCCTTTTAGCCAGAGCAGGCCTGAGGAGAAGCCCCCAAGGACAAGATGGCACAGAGGGCGGGCGGTGCGCGCCCTGGCTCCCCTCTCGCCTTCCCCACGCTCCTCTGGTGCCCTCTTACAATTCCTGCCCTCTTTGCAACAAGGGAGAATCATCCATCACTGCACTGGGCAGGGCAGGTTCTAGCATTTCCCACCCTTTATTAATGTGCTGTCATATTTTACCTCTTCAATTTTGACCAGAGCTAAGTAAGCCTTAGTGGCTGATTATTTCCCACATATTCGCTCTATATGGTAAGAATCAAATAGCTTATTTCTTCCAGTGTATCCAAGTTGTTTGGTAACAACAATTTTTAAAAATAATAATCTAATCTAATAACACCTAATAATCTAATAATAATAACAGCTAATATAAAAGTAACAATTGATAATCTAATAGCATCTAATAACAAGCTTGGTGCAGGTATACGACAGTCAAAATTAAAGATACTTTTGATAGTTGTCATTGGAGGTGTTCACCACCTAGCATTACTTGGGTTCTTTGGTCAGACTTAGCACAACTTTTGTAGCTTGGTTTCTAGAGCAAACATATGCATTTATTATTATTAATATTTATTAAAAACGCATTTTTAGCAAGTATTCTCAAATATCTGGTTACAATGTGAATACTGTAAACCTGTTTGCTAAAATATTTGAGGAAAGCAAACACAGCCAGAACATAAGAACCAAAAAATATTTTACAAAATATTTAATACTTTTTTGAGGGATTAACTCTGCTCCACTGACTATATTTGCATATTTGCATTAGCCCAATATGTTGTCATTACCAACATATGACAAAATCCTAATAAGCTTCCTGTGTTTCATACTGACTACATTTCCCTTTGCAAATACATATACTGTTACAGTTATCTTTTATTTCATCCTGCTTTTAGAAAATTGTGTTGCCTTTTCCATGCTCAGGATGAGCTGCCTGCACATTTGTGGCCTAACCCAAAATCCACCGATGGCGATGGCGGTAGTTTAGTGAACTTCACTGTGCTCGGTGTTAAGCCCATAATATTACACCACACAGATGCGCAATAGTCGGAATCACACGCCAATAGTCACAAGTCTACTGAAGAACAAAACATTGTCATTGCTATGTTACCACTGAGTTTGGGCCAGAAGGGTTTTGAGATCAAAGACTCCTAGAAACATCTCATGACTCTGAGTTTTCACTTTCCCAGTGCCACCCTTTTAAAAAATTCTGCAGCAAATGGCAAATTTAAAGCAGCTGAGACCGAGGCTGTACTTTCAATAAACAAAACAAAGTCTTGTGAATTCTAAACAGTTCTGAAAAGACCATGCTTCCTGGTGGATCTGGCACCAAGAGCCATTGCCAGGAAGAGGCCTTCTGCAGATTAGGCATAATAGAACTTGAGATGCCTTTAGAACAGCTTGTAGCACATGCTAACTTGGGAATGATCACAGGGCTGCCCAGAACTCTTTATTTGGAAAGTTCTTCTGACTTTGCCCTGTCCTGTCTATACAGGTCTGTATTATGGATATCCTCCTTTATTACATCACAAGAGTTTCATTAAAAGCAGAAGAACCAGGCCAGTCCCTGTGTCAAAAAGCTGAGGAAATGGCTACTTAATTGCTGCCAACTTTAGAGGAAAGAAAAACTCAGAGGGTGGTCTCCTTTCCCTTGCTTAAAGTAGCCAGTTCACAGTTCACTGTGGAGTTAGAAGTGATCACCTCTGAAAAGAGTCAGGCCAAAATGGCACGGTGATGCAGAACACCTATTCCACTGAGCATGTCCTGGTGAGTGTGCAGGTGGCTCTAGGCCTGCTCGCTGGCTTAGGTACACTGATTTTAACCAACGACAAGGAGTATGTCAGGAGAGATGTCTGTTACCTGAACTGTCATTCTTTAAGGAAAACAGATGCGCAAAATGAAGCTAGGCAAAATTAGTCTATGTTTAGGTTTTAT